GATGGTCCTACATGTATTTAAAACTCCATGACATGCCACTTTGATAAATTGCATATTGACCTTGGATATTTGCACTACATTTATGGTAGCAAAGCTGACAAGCGAAAGTGTATCCCAGGTATATTTGTATGTGTACTAGTGGCTAATGGGCACTTGGCTACATATACGAACTGAGTCTAATTAAGGTTAAAGTTTACGAATGCTGGTGCTAAGAAAATCCAGGGATCAAAGAATAATTTTTGTTATTCTTTTTAATTTAAACAGAGATGTCTACATTTACATTTTATGAGTATAAAACAACCCTTAAAATCTTTATCTGAAGAAAGGAGTGCTTTCTATTTTTTAAGGCAATTGGGTACCTGCAATATTCAAAAAGGAAATTCCTTGAATGCTAATATCATGTTTTAAGGTCGCTCGGATAAAGCTAGATGAATATCTTTCTCTGTTATGAGATGGAATTATAAAGATCCAGAAAAAAATCAACACAATGCACTTACCTATTTCATTAAATAGTAGAACTTCAAATTGTTTTGAGCGTCTGTAATTCACAGACAGCTTAACCTTATCAACAACAAAAAAGTGTGCTAGAAAAATATAAAACATCAAATATCAAACAAACGCCCCTGTTTTGAAAAACTCTGCTGCACTTGGACCAATATGTTCTGTCTAGAAGCTATTAGTACATGTATACACATAAATGCCACTATCTTCTTTGAAAAAACTTCTAGTTTATATTATCTGCTGAGAACCCATATGCACAACTACATGAATATAGGAGTTAATCTGTTCTGTTTCTCAGCAGCTGATTAATGTTTTCCCTCTGTGCCAATTACACAAAGTAGGTCATCCAGGTCTAATTAGTTTTCCTAAAATCCACTTAATCTCTTCCTTTTCATTTTCAATCTGTTGCTTTTGAGGGCAGCACGTGTTAACAGCGAGACAATCTTCCTGGTTTTCTCTCTCCAAATTGTCTGCCGCTGCTGCTGATTCACAAGCCTGCCTCCCTTGCCATCTATAATTCATGCATGGAGACCAACACGGCCAGCTTGAGAGGAGTGTTATTTATTCATCATCGTGGGCGGCACCCTCACCAGCACAAGGTGTGCAATCGCGGATGCGCCAGCTCCCGTCGCTAGCGGCTGGTAAGAATGCAAGGTGTGGTGCCAAGAGGTGGGTAAAGCATAAGGAAACACTTGTAGGAATACAGAGGCGTATCCATGGCGGGGGGGGGGGGGGGGAGGAGGGGCATGTGTAGCACCCTCCACCTCGCAAACGCCAATCTGGGCCCAGTCTTACAAAGAGTTACGATTGATACAAATCAATCGCAAGTTTGCAGTCTCCTATCTCCTATGTACATAGTTGCGATCGATATCAACTCTATAAGACGGGGCCCTGGCATACCTAAAAGTAATCAAAAAAGAGCCCCCAGAGCCATCTATATATTGCATGATCTTGCATGATGCTAACTTTTCAAATGCTTTGGATACTAAAAGGGTGTGAACAAAAGAAGTAGAAAATCAAACGCCCTCTCTAATTTGACATCATACAATTTCATCTTAGTTATATCTTTATTATATAGAATATCATAGAGTGGAGACAAGATAACTTTCAGTCCTATGTATTTTGCTCCTCATTATCCAAAAAGCATTCTTGAAAACCAAACTGAAAAACGGTCCCCTCGAATCTGCATTATTCTCAAGAAAAAAAAATTATGATACCATACGTAATATTTTGTGGATACTTGAGTTATGCTCACACTGATGTTAATTAAATCTCTCTCTCTCTCTCTAAGTGCCATATCGTTTAACTTTGGCGATCATGCTGTTCCACAACCCTCGGCTCCTAACCTTCTCTATTAGCGCCACTCCCAGTTCATTCACTCCTCTCTCTTTTAACAATTTCTGCAGACTGTCCATTCAAAGTATCCTTCTTCTTTCCCTACTCCTCCTTCCCTCATTTGAATACTACACAGATTTTCTAGTGAAGGTAATGTCCGCCTAGACATAATCAAGTTTGATACCACACAAGCAAGAGTTAAGTAATAAGATAGGGTGTGTTAATTAGTCATACTATGCAGTCATCCAGCCACCTTGGACGGAGCACCTGATTCATCAAGTTTGGTGGCTTGGATTACATCCCGAGGCTCTAAACAGGCATGCTGCCCCCTAGAGCCCAAACTAGGAAAGTAATTCTTTGAGGATTACTATCTATACCCTGTCTGCCTGTCTGAGTGTCTCTAATACATGTTAGAATGCTGCTTTGTGACATTAAAATGATGGAAATGTATGACTAGACATTATTTAGTTTGATACCACCCAAGCAAGAGTTAAGTAATGCGATAGGGTGTAGTAATTATTCATACCATGCAGTCATCCAGCCGCCTTGGATAGAGCACCTGATTCATCAAGTTTGGTGGCTCGAATTACATCCCAAGGCTCTGCTGCCCCCTAGAGGCCAAACTAGGAAAGTAATTCCTATAGGATTACTATCTATACCCTGTCTGCCTGTCTGAGTGTCTCTAATTCATGTTAGAATGCTGCTTTGCGACATTAAAATGATTGGAATTTATGACTAGACATTATCTATAGTTTGATACCACCCAACCAAGCAAGAGTTAAGTAATAAGATAGGGTGTGTTAATTAGTCATACCATGCAGTCATCCAGCCACCTTGGATAGAGCACCTGATTCATCAAGCTTGGCGGCTTGGATTACATCCCAAGGCTCTACTAAACAGGTATGCTGCCCCCTACAGACCAAACTAGGAAAGTAATTCTTTGTGCTTGACTATCTATCTCCCTGTCTGAATCAGTGTCTTTAATTAATGTTAGAATGCTGCCCTGTATCATTAAAATGACGGTTACTTAAAAATATCAGTTGTACCCACTGTATTCATATCTTCTTGTTCATACATTCTTTGAATCTTTATCATGTTTTCCTTTCCTCTCTTCCCCTTCTGATTCCACTCCAACAACATCATCTCTCTTTCTTTTTCTCTCTCTTTCTTTCTCTCTCTTTCTCTTCCTCTCTTTCTTTCTCTCTCTTTCTTTTCCTCTTTCTCTCTCTCTCTTTCTCTCTCTCTCTCTCTCTCTCTATCTCTTTCTCTCTCTCTCTCTCTCTCTCTCTCTCTCTCCCTTTCTCTCTCTTATCCTCTATTTGCCTATTTTACATGTACATGTAACCTTCCCCTTTTCCCGTAAGCTTTCCCATTCCTGTTGGTTCTATTAAATCTTGCTGTGTCACAAAAATGTTTAGAAAATACAGTTGGTTTACAGAATATCTTGATATGCTTTCATGAATTCTAAACATATCTCCATGAAAATAAGTGATACATGTACTTACACGAATTTACATAAGTAAAAATAGCTGCGATCGAAAAAAATGCCTAGGAATTATCCTTAAAATGATCATGTCATATCGCTTGACATACATTTTGGCCAATACTCATTTTGTCCAATGCCAAACATTGAACAGCAGTAAGCACTTGTATATGTGGGAGTGGTATGCCCAACTCTCTTGCTTAATGTCACCCAATGGTACCTACACATTTCTTGCTCATCATCAGTAGATAGCAAAAGTGGAATGTCGCCCTCTCTTGCCTCATGTTGCACATTGGTTACAATAATTTTCTTGCTCATCCTCAGGCGAAACTCTAGTTGAAATGCTGCCCTCTTTAGGCTAATGTCATATAATGCTTGCTATGATCCTTTCCCTAATCTACAGTAGATATGAATCAACGTTACAAGATTACAAACTGGTAATACTGCCCTCTTTAGGTCATCATCAGCAATAACACCTTCACTTCATTACAAGATTCCTTCGGTCTTCTATCACCACCAAGCTTCTCCCTCCCTCTTTAAATTCTCATCATTTAAATTTCCCAGAGCTTAGTAACACTGTATTATGTGCATTATACAAATACTATGTATTAATAGTACCATCATTGTTAAAATATAGCTGAAGATTTCAACAGGGATTTAACAATCTATATACAGAAGTACATTGCATGTCTTCTAGAGGGCAAATTTTGGTCATCATCATCACAACAATCATTATTCTCTCCTTCTCATTATTGCTATAATCACTATCATCATTCTCTTCTTAAAGGTAAAGACCAGTATTGGAAACGCCCCAATTTCAAAAAATGAAATGGAAGCTCTCATTACCAATCATGTGAAAGAATATGTTTTGACTAATACATGATGATAAAAAATTTGCCGGGAAACCGCCTACTAATTCATATATTTGGTAAATTTGTTTCTCTCATGGTCTATGAGAGATATAGGGTAGTCCCATATACGTCTTTCTGTGTATAGTGCTTGTAACTTTACGAAGAATGGGCCAAATTTCTTATCATTTTGATGATTCCAGAACCTTGCAGATGCTAGATGCTAGATGATCAACCTTTTCTGATCAATTCCACAACGTTTCTTTCACAATGCAATCGCATGACCATAACTGGTCTTTACCTTTGATCATCATCACCAGCAACATCAATATCCTAACCATTCCCACACTGACCCACTTTCACACTATCAAAGGCACCAAGATCAATATGAGCATCATCACAACTATCATCATCACAACCAAAATCAACAATAGCATCATCATCACCATCACATGACCGCCACTATCATAAATCTTCCCCGATTGCCAACTTGATGTCTAAACCTTCTACCAAATAGTAATGCAACTGACACAATATCAGCTATGAATGGACTCCTACCTGCTGCCCAAACAAGAGCGCCGCCCACAGCCCCACTAACTACCCTACCTACCATCAAACACACTAGCCCACTCACTACCTCACCTACTGCCCCACCCGCTGCACCACCCTTTCTCTTAACACACTCCCCCACCACCTAGCCAAACCAGCGTCACTCTGTTGCCCCCAACTGAGTGGCATCTCGGACCAACCATCTCTACCAATCTCCACCAACCACCACACCCAAAGCCTTGCCCAGATCAACTAACCTGCGTCACTCTGTTGCCAATCAACCGAGTGGCATCTCGAACCAACTCTACCAATCTCCACCAACCACCACACCCAAAACCTTGCCCAGTGCCCCAGCATTCATTCATCCATACCAACTAACCTGCGTCACTCTGTTGCCAACGACCTGTGTTGCATCTCGGACCGGTTTCAGAATCTTCTTGGTGACTGCCGATGAGCTGGAGTCCCTCCGATCATCTGCATGAAGGCCACTGTCTAAGGGATGTTCATCCAAGCTCCGGAGGCTGTGAGTTGATAGTTCCTTGCGCAGCACTCGATATCTCGCCAAATCAGAGTCCGATGCTGCTGAGGGTAGGTTCTTTGCAAAGTTTCCTGTAAAATTGAGGGGGGGGGAATGAAATTCTAATTTTGAACAGAAGAAAGATTTTAAGGGATGCTTGTCCAGGTATGAAGGCCTTGAGTCAATATGTCTTTTCATTACATCTTTGAAAAATTTCTTACAATTTTAAACAAGACAAATCCACATTCTCTTCAGTTTGCTATTTAAAGCCACACTGTCCTACTTGTAGCTCCATGCTCCCTCTATAAAGAAAACAATGCCTAATCGGTGATCATTGGTCCTCCATGATCCTCTTTTTCTTATGTTAATGCTGAGTTGATGAGATAACCACCTGTCCATTGACCTTGCAGGGTGGTCTAATCCATCCTATAAACCAGTACAGATGAGCTTTAAGAAAAGGAATGATTGGTAATACAAAACATTCAAATAGTTAAGTAAAGCAAATTTGTTGCTATGCACTCATCGAGCAAACTGCAAGAATGACAGAAGTTACAGTGACATGATCAATTCAGCCTATTTGAATTTCAGTGCCTATAGTGATTTTCTTATCTTATGTCTAGTTTGTTCACACTTTCACCCATGTACTTCTCTGATTTTTCTGTTTTCTATTAGATTAGTTTGCTATCAAGGGTGGTATTTCCCTTTAAACTCCAATTCCACTCTGAATCTGGTGTCCACAAGGCAGCCTCTTTGAGAAAGGAGCAGAAAGCAATTTTGACTGTTACGATGTCATCACACCCCCCCCCACCCCCCCCCCCCCCCCCAATGACGTGATGAAACTGTATCACAAATACTAGAGACAAACACCATCCATCTATCTACAGCATCCAATTATCTCACTGGTCACTGCAGTTTCTGCTCAAAAGCTGACCATCCATGGATGAGTGGTCAGTTTCCTCGAGCAGAAAACATTGGTTTTTATCACACCTCAAGAAGGACGACATCTGACCTAATTTTCTGGCTGTGTTCATACCCATCGTCCAAATTAAAAAAAAAAAACATTTGTTCTTATTCTGCCCCAAGAGGGACAACATCATATCTGATCCATTCTGGCTGTGTTCATACGCAATTTGCCCAAAAATCACAAAAAAATGTTTGAAAACATTTGTTTTTATCCTGTGCGCCAAAATGGACAACTTCATATTTGATCCATTCTGGCTGTGTTCATATGCATCATGCAAAAAAAATTTGAAAATGTTTGTTTTTATCCTATCCCAGGAAGGACAACTTGACATCTGACCTAATTTTCTGGCTGTGTTCGTATGCATCGTGCAAAAAATGTTTGAAAACGTTTGGTTTTATCCTGACCCAAAAGGGACAACTTCAATTTGATCCATTTCTGGCTGTGTTCATACGCATCATGCCAACAACAACAAAATTACCCAATAATATTTGAATGACTTTTTAAAGGAAAGTCCACCACCGTCTCCAATTCAATCCAATTTACAAGTTCTTCGTCTTGTCCATGATCTGCGCTCTCCCGGTAATGGTACAGTGACTCTTAATTTGAAGGGGGGAAAGACTTATAACTTGAGAAAGAAAACTGTAGCAACCATGGGAGGTTTTTTATTAATTGGAAAAGTCTTCATTTCAAACCATCCTTCATATTTTACTTTGCTACAGAATGAGTGGAGAAATTGAAATATAATATTAACCATTCTATTAATCGTAACATGATTTACAGCAACAATACGTTACCAAGTACTTCATGATTTGCTTTAGGAAGTAGCAAAAGGCCACTGAAACAATGATATTAAGCAAATTGTTAATACAAATATGAAAAGATAAACAAATAAGTAAAATTGGAGTAAATCTGATGAAGGATTAAAAATGAATCTATGAATTTCTATATCATATGATTTTGCCCTGCAAGGGATGAGATATTTATTGATCTCAATCCAACTTTCTTTTAAACATAAATGCAAATATAATTTTGTATACTTATATCTTTTAAAGCTCCCCTGCACTACTTATAACTTCTTGTGCCCTCTATATGGCAAACAATGCCTAATCCGTGACCATTGGTCCCCCATAATACACTTTTGCTTATGTTAATTGAGAGCTGATTTGATGAGATAACCACCTGTCAGTGACCATGCAGGAAGGTCTAATCCCTCCTGGCAGAACTAGTGCAGTTGGGCTTTAATTTTGTTTAAGTTTCAAAAAAAGTTGTATGAGGCCCTCTGAGCAAGACTGCCACCCTATTTTGCTTGGAATACAACCTCGGTTCTACTTCACTGCCTAATTAAGCAAAACCATTTCAAATTTGAGGTACGTGATGCCTCACTAATTTTGGCGTCTATGGTGTTTGCTAACTATTCATGCACGAGGGCGCCAAACACCAACACTATGAGAATCGTATAGAAGGCATTGAAATGTGACATCCAATTAGTAAACAAGGTGGCTCTTTTTGATATTCATGAATATGTGACACGAATGGTGCCAAAGATGTAATATACTTTTTTGTGTGTGAAAATGGCATTACCACTTTCTTGTATTTTTTCTTCTTGTTGATGTTGTTGTAAAGAAAAAATATATAATTACCTTCAGGGGTAAAGGTCATTTTAACTTTAATGAAATGGTGCAGTATGAAAAATTGTAGCTTATTCAGGCTAGGTTCACTAAATCCTCATATTTGAGCTAAAAAGAGTCTCCATTTATTTCATTATTTTTATAAAGGCTCCTTTAGATATGAGGCCGCAAGTTCGTAGCAGTTTTTTATGAGTAAAGCGTAATAAGCCTCCTATTTCTGTATCTTATAACACAGATCTCAGTGAATATGCGTAAGTCCTTTGTTGCATGCAGTTGCGACTCATTAACACATCAGCTTTTTGCGGTGGTTTACTGCGCCATATCTTAAAAAGCCTTTAGTGTAAATTAAACTGAGTCTAGAGATCACAAACTATAATGCAACACTTCTGACCGCCCCGCCCCTCCTCTTTCTCTCTCTCTCTCTCTGTACCTCTCATCCAGCCCCCCCCCCCTCCCTCTCTCTCTTCATCTCTCAACTCTTTCAAGAAATTTGGTAGTAGTCATCATACTCCAGACATGGTTCAATTTACTTTCAGCAAATCAGAGAGAAAAATTCTTCGGCCTTGAAATTAGGTTAGAACCACTTCAATGTAAAACACTGTCCCTCCCTATTTTTCTCTCTCTGCCTCCCTTCGTCCCTGGCTCGATACAATGCCATCGAGTCAACATGGATGCATCGTTTGCATTTTTCATGCAATTTCTATGATTGGTCACGGCTTGCGGCACCTCGAGGACTGGTTAAACATCAATGCCAATGAAAAATCGACATTTTCTATGTGCCCCATCTCGTATAACACTGCCAAGTTACATCAGCATGCAGATTGACTTTCTTTCCCTCTTGATAATGATATTAGCTATTCATGAAGCCATTTAACCCTTCCACTGGCAATACCAGACATCTTGTGTATCAAGTCTGTGGACTTAAAGGTAAAGACCAGTATTGGAAACGCCCCAATTTCAAAAAATGAAATGGAAGCTCTCATTACCAATCATGTGAACAAATATGTTTTGACTAATACATGATGATAAAAAATTTGCCGGGAAACCGCCTACTAATTCATATATTTGGTAAATTTGTTTCTCTCATGGTCTGTGAGAGATATAGGGTAGTCCCATATACATCTTTCTGTGTATAGTGCTTGTAACTTTATGAAGAATGGGCCAAATTTCTTATCATTTTGATGATTCCAGAACCTTGCAGATGCTAGATGCTAGATGATCAACCTTTTCTGATTGATTCCACAACGTTTCTTTCACAATGCAATCGCATGACCATAACTGGTCTTTACCTTTAAATCCTTCTGGTGCCCTCCAATTTACAAACATGTATTAGAATAACAAAATTACACGTATCTATTCCAATTTTATGTTTTGATTACAATCTCATGTTTTTTGTCTTTTGTTCATTTTGATATAAATAAATCAATCTTCAGGATGCAAATGTATAATTGCTGAAAGACCAATATTTCATTGCGTACAGGTAGAACCACAATGTTAGTAGAGAAATTGGTGGATATGGAGCTGGCAAATGCATGTACTACCTTCAGAAGACTTTAAGAAATACCTACATTTTTATTGAGGTTACATATATTTTTATTGAGGTATGTCAAAAAAGAATGTTTTTCCCTGAAATCACTAACTATTGTGCTTTTTGCGCTCCAGATGCATCTGTATGTGTACCTTCCTGACATTGTGGTCACTTTAAGGTATAGACCAGTTTTGGAAACGCCCCCTCTCAAAATATGAAATGGAAGCTCTTATTACCAATCATGTGAAAGAATAATACCTAATGATACAAGTTTTGCCGGGAAACCGCCTACTAATTGATATATTTGGTAAATTGTCATATCGATCCGGCTAGGATAGATATCACGTAGTCCCATATACATCTTTCTGTGTACAGTGCTTGTAACTTTACCTAGACTGGGCAAAAAATATTATCGTTTTGATGATACCAGAACCTTGAAGTACACACCAATATTTATATGCTAAATGATCAGCCTTTTTTGATCGATTCCACAACGTTTCTTTCAAAATACAATCGCATGACCAGAACTGGTCTATACCTTTAACTCTTTCATTAAGTTTGAAAGAAACCCACCATTCTAACATGATCTTACCAAGGTCACTTAGGTAGGAGTTGCGCATCTTTCTTGTCGAGATGCTCTCTGTGGTCTCTAGGGACGATGCCCGTCGGATGCTGACTCCGCTCCGAGCCGTCTGATTGGACCACGTCTTGGCCAGTGGGGTGTGTCGGGGGAAGGTGTTGTGCACGGATAGGCTCGTCTCGTGTTCGTTTGCGTCACGTAATGAGCATTCTCTTCTGAAAGGGTAGAAAGTATCGTGATATTAACATCGCATTCTACATATTCAAAGAAGTACATGTGTTCTAAAGAAAGGGTAGAAATGTTTGTGTAGTGGTGGTTATTTTATCGGACAGCTAATGCTACGGTCCAAACGTTCGTACGAACGATAATTTTGTACGAATCTCCCTGTTTTTCATCGTCTTCCCGAATTTCCATTGTCTGAAAATCGTTTGTACGGCGTTCATAGCAGTTCGTAATGGCATTTGTGACCGAGGCTTTAGAAGGCATAAATGCTTGTTAGTAAGCAACCAGATGACCCACGGCTTTAGGTCCTCTCCGAGAGACCTTTTAATGAGGATTAATGCCTTACTAAAAGGGCACTAGCACATCGCCGCGGTTTCGAACCCGGGTCGCCGGATTACAAGACCACTGCTCTACCAACTGAGCTATCGTGTCCTGTCTCATAAAACGTGTTATCAATAACGAATGCTAAACTTCTATGACAAATTTGCTTTCAGCCAATCAAATGCCACGATTTCAGTAGCTTATAACAGTTATTGGAACTTGTTATTGATAACAGGTTTCATGAAACAGGGCCCTGGTCATATGGTGGGGAAATAAATGAAACTCTTGATATAGTAATAATAATAAATTTATATAGCGCAGCTTTTATACAAAATATATTCAGCTGCGCTGGTTAAGAGCTCCTTTTTACTAAATTCTACAAAATAAGATCACTCAGTTGAACAAATAAGTTTTTTAATTGGATTTAAAAACATTGAGAGATGGAGTGCTTCGTATTTCTATTGGCAAGCTATTCCATAGTTTGGGGGCAGCAATAGCAAAAGCACGGTCCCCAAGAGTTACTTTAGTTTTGCCACGGGGAATCTGAAACAATACTTTATCTGTGGAACTGCGCAGGCTACGACTGTGTGATTGGACTTTGAGTTGAAGTAATTCTGTGATGTAATTAGGGGCTTGACCACTCAATGATTTATAGACAATTAACAATATTTTGAATGAGATTCTTTGACGGACTGGCAACCAGTGGAGTTCTCTCAGAAGAGGGGCGGTTGAAGTGAATTTCGACTGACGATAGACATATCGATATGCCATATACAAAATTTCCTGTGACACATTTAATCAAGCAGATACCAAAATATTCAAGATGCCCATATTTCCAGTGCAAGATCATATCAATACAAGTGTTAAAAGGGTTGTCATTGAATTACATGTGCCTGTACTCAAGACTGGAAATGGATCATTTTCAAAAGCCATCGTGTTGCACAAAGCAATCCTTCCCTCCTCAATAAGGGAGTTTACAGATACAATCTTCGCATGGGCAGATAAAGGTCATTTGTACCAAAATAGTAAAACCTACAGAGATGAATACTGGATATGCGCTCATGAAAGTTATGTAACATTATTCATTTTTGCACCAATGGTACATTCTATGATACGCAGGTGGAAGTATTATTTTCAAGAGGTCAAACAAAAGGTATTCATGAAGCACATCTAGGACTTTGGCAGTTATTATTCTAAGATGCTCAAAGTGAAACTTCTCCATGTGTAAAGATCTGTGGATATTTGGGGTCATTTGTACCATGTGATATCTGTAAACTCCCTTATTGGTGCCTCTTATTTTGTGCCAAAATGCATGTGTAGCAAACGAGCGACTATACAGAGAGGTGAAGAAAGCAACCAAAGAGTTGAGCATTGATATCCAACAATATTTTTTCCTTTTCTTTTCTTTTTGTCATTTGATAAATGGCACCCGTGTCATACATGACAGATATTATTCTGGCAGCAAATTCCAAACACCTTAGGTAAGTATACCCCCTGTCCCCCTTCCGATGCAGGCATAGTTTCCAAAATAGAAACCCAATTTTAAACAAGATTGATCTGTCTGTGATAGTTACGGCATGATCGTGTTTCCGACGTGTGGAGAAGTGTCAGCCTTTAGCATCATCATAAGATGAATGTCGTTTAAATTATTCATGGTTTCTCCGAACCCTACATTATAAGCCCAAAGTACAGAGAGCAATCTCCTGTTACATTTCTAATTTGCTGTTTTAAATATCACATAAATGTTTAATCCATCAAATATCTGATGAATGTCGTTTAAATTATTCATGGTTTCTTCGAACCCTACATAATTATAAGCTCAGAGTACAGAGAGCAATCTCCTATTACATTTCTAATTTACTGTTTTAAATATCACATAAATGTTTAATCCATCAAATATCTGATTCCTTCTTCAATCCTCTCCCATACCTTCCTGCACCTCCATCATGTATTTCAAGGAGAGTCAAATGAAATATACAGTGATTCAAATTTTTTTTTTTTTTTAGGTGACAATTACTCTGGCTTTATTTCTTCTTGGGTTGCAATTGGGCTTGGAGTTAGGTTTAGGGTAAGGGTTAGGTATAGTTTTTAGTCCAGGGTTGAAGTCTGAAATTAGTTAATTGTAGGAACTACCACAGATCATTTGTCAATCAAAGTAGCATATTATCGACAGCTTGCAAGAAGGCAATGACTACCTTCAACAATACATAGCTGTTACAGCTTTTGTGCAGGGAGCCAATATATAATACCACCAAATATATATATATATATATATATATATATATATATATATATATACAGTCAAACCTGTCTATAGCAACTGTCCAAGGGAAACACAGAAAGTGGTCTTTGTAGACAGGTAGTCTTTATAGACAGATTCATTATGTGTTAATGAGAAACCATTTTCAAGGCAAACAAAAAATGTGGTCTTTGTAGATAGGTGGTCACTAAAGCAGGTTTGACTTTATATATATTGTGGTATGACATTTTGGCTCCTAGCAAAAGAGCTGTATACAGTCTTTATTGTCTGTTTGTAGCCAGAAGTTAACGTCCTTCTAGCTCCATAGAGACGGTATGTACCTCAAGTGAAGAGAATCTGTGCTATGCAGATCCCCAGCGCCCCCAGAAAACGAATCCGAATGCACCGACTTCGTTGACTGGGTCGACGACGTCGGCAAGTCGTTGTTGGAGGGAACCTCCTTCAGACTCAGCAGCGGCATGGAACTCTCCGGTTCCGTGGTCGCCGTCGACGATGACCCCGCCCCCTGGCTGCTGACCCCGTTGAGGGCACCCTCCTGACTGTCCTTCAACTTGCTCCTTTCTCCATCTCCCTCTGGCGGGGCTGACTGCTGGTTGTTGTTGTCCCGCTGGCGGTAGATCTGTGGAAGCTTGAGCCGGAAAGTCCGATGGTTGTCTGTATGAAGAGAGATGCAACCGAACAAAAAAGACAGAGGTGTTATAATCAATCCAGGGAAAAATTCATGGGGGCTCAGGGCGAATCAGCCCCTGAATTGCCAAAAAAAGCCTTTGAAAGTTATAAAAGAGCCCCCCCCCCCCCCCCCCAAAAAAAAAAAAAAAAAAAAAAAAAAAATGCATAGGGCTCAATGCAATACAAATTAAAGAATACTATTTTCATGCAAGCAAGCTTGAACAGTAGCCCCCAAAATGTTTAAAATATTTATTTCCCTGAATCAATCTCACTATAGCTGTCAGCTAAGGCCTGACCTCTATTTTTTAGAAACCCTATTAGAATGATACCAACTTGTATATTCAGGGCTCAACACTCACTTTTTCATAGGGGGTCCAGATTCGAATTTTAGGGTATGTATATAGGAGCTCCATGATCAAATTTTGGGGTCAAGACTGAGATAATGGACAAGCATGTACCCAAGGCACCAGTTAGAGTTAAGCCCTGCCCATTATCAATGCTCAAAATTATTTTACGACACAGGCCCTGCAACGGTTGCTCCACTGTAAATTTGTAGCGCTAGACAAATCGTCGCTGTTTCCACGAAGTGACGGTAGTGAAAAAAAATCGCACTCACTTTGCGTTACGATTTTCATCACTACCGTCACTTCGTGAAAACAAGGACGAAATTTCAAATGTAACCCTGCACGCAGCACTAGGCACGACCCTAAATGCAACATAACCGCATGCGCAACCCAAGTCCTTACCAATTACCAATGCCGAAAATGAAGGGAAAGATCTCACATCTCTCTTCATCTAAAGACTTACCTGTTTATGAAATTCTCAACAGAACATTAACAAATTACCTGGTTTAAACCTGCTTAGTCAAGGGAAATGCTCTGCGTAATTTTTCAGATTTTATTGCAAATTTCTCTTCAACTCCTTAAATCCATACACGAACTTATCCAAAAATGAGTTTACTTACTTTGTTTTAGACATGATTAAATTTATATGAATCTAGGTAGACTACCTTTTTTTTATAATATGCAAGGTACTAAAAAAGAAAACTACGTGTTGAGAAACTACTACTACTACTACTACTACTGCTACTATTACTACTACTACTATACTACTGCTTATATAATTCAACTTAAAACAATATATATATATATATATATATATATCACAGCGATGATATAAATTCATATAAATACAATAAAATATATTTGATATCCAACCACACTGCTAAGAGTTCTACAGTAACTGAAACCACCACAATCACTAAAAAAAATATCAGAAAAAAATCAGAGTAATTTTACTTTTGTTGCCCACTTTTATTTCCCCTTGTGCTAAACTTTCTTGTGAGTTTTTTAGTCTAACTGTTTTTATAAAACTATCAATCAAATTGCATCTCTCTTATCAAATTCTAAATACATGAACTGTCCTTCTCCATGACAGAAACGATTTGACAAATCGTCATTGTCGACCAATCATTTCCCTCAAATATTTTAGTCATATCTTAAACTAATAGGTCCTTATCAAATAGTATATTTGTAAAGCGCTTAGAGACATTTGTATCAAGCGCTATATAAAAACTAAATATTATTATTATTATCACCAACTTAGTACTTGAAAGGCATGAGCCCTATGTAAATCTTATTCATCTATATCTATTGAAGAAAATTTAAAAAAATTAAATTTGAATGAAAATTACACACTTCAGTACACTAATAACATCACTGGTATTGCCTTTTTCTGCACTATAATAATGAAGCTAATTGCAATTATCTCATAATAAATATTTAAAAAATAAATGAATAAAGTAAAAAAGATGGCTTTTTATTTATAATGAGAAATCTAAGGGATAAATAATGTGCTTGGTTATACTGTATGGCACTATAAGGCTATATGCTGATAAATAGGAAGCAAAAAGGGGGAATTATCATATACATGTATATATAGAATAATAACTGTAGTTAAAATGCATATACACAATATGCGCAGATAAAAAATATGCATAACGCTGCAGTGCAAGCATATATACACTGTGTAGCTAAGATAAATATATTGATGCTTTTCAGTAACATTTCACTAGGTTTATTCCTGGGGAGTGTTTCACAAAGACTTTGATCGACTCAAGTTGGTTTTAAATATGGCAGGCCATTCATGCCACTGTTTGCTCTCACCATTATGATCTTTAGATCATATTTTTTTTCCTTCAATAATGAATTATCTAAAAAAAATACAAATTCTTTAGATTTGTGACCATGATTTGTACCTCTCTTGAGAGACAAATGCCAGTAAATGGTGAGAGCAAACAGTGGCATGAAGGGCCTGCCATATATAAATCCAACTTAAAGTCGATCTTAGTCTTTGTGAAACACTGTAATGATGTAATGATAAAATGAAATTTGACAGAATTTAAAGACAGTTATCCTGCATGTTCAAGACAACGAATGCCAAAACATTTTTCTTGAAGTTATGGTAAAAATAAGTCAAGAAAGCTAAGAAAATCACGACCAGTTGCGGAAAATGTGATTGGAATTCGTCATGCTTAGCAACAAGTTTCCATCGATTAGTTTTTTCTACATAATTTGTTGGTCAAGGAAATTCATCTTCCTCAAATAATACTGAATTATTTTCAGCCAGTTTCTGTCAAAATTCATTTCCATTACCAGGACTCGACATTTTAACTCACTGCTACACAAAATAACTAAATGTCGTACATTATAATTTCACCAGCATTAAATGGGAATTTTCTTTCAGTTTGCGGGAGGACCAAAAGTCTTTATAGATTGCTCGCAGGTAGGTGACTTTTGGGGGCGTGACTGGGGTTTTGTATATATATATATTAAAATATATGAAAATTGCAGCTTTTTATATATCAAATAAGCAGATACTACGCGGAAAGCAGTGAGGAGTAATTTTCTATAAATATTTTTTGTGGCTAGTACACATAATTATACAAAAGCTTGTCAAGATTACACATTTATATATTTTTAAAGCTTTGCTCACATCTATTACAAAACTGTTACATATACATTAAGGATTTCAACTGGTTTGAAATATTCCCAACCAATGACCATATCTAAATATACCGTAGTTGACAAGTAAATTATATGCTGACACCTCCAACATCCATCTAAAAAAGTTAGCTTTATAATTGAATTTCATATTTTAAATACCAAAGAAATAAGACAGATAAAATATCAAGTAGTTAAGATAGCTGCTGCAGTATTATATACACCAGCTACACCAAAGAACAATCATTAATAATAATAAAATTTCTAGTAAACCAGCTGAGAAATTTTCATGTGCCTTAATTTATTATCACATTTGTAGTAGGACAAAACAATATCCATGTGCATCAAATCCCAGACAGGGGCTGGATCAAATACATCACAAGGTGACAAATACTTGTAATGGTGGTCAAAAAAAGCACAGCAAACCAGTGAAATCTGACATGATATTAAACCACATAATAGGACAGATTTAGAGTAAGAAAGTGTTCAAGTCAAGTTAGTTCACTCAAGAAAATATGATGCATGAAATAGTTATACAACTCAGTAAATTCCACGAGGTGACGAAGGTGTGAAGGAACAAAACAGCACTCCAAACATGGTGTTGTACACATAAGATTGGTGTTGTACACATTAGATTGGTGTTGTACACATAAGATTGGTGTTGTATACATTAGACTGGTGTTGTACACATTAGATTGGTGTTGTACACATTAGATTGGTGTTGTACACATTAGATTGGTGCTGTTTGACACTCAGCAAAGAAAAATGTATCACAACTCTTGGGCTCAGTTCAGACTTTGTAAAAGAACTTGTGAGTTGTCTCCAGGGCAATATTGTGGGGGTAAAAATACATTTATGAAGTAGAATACACTTATTTAATTTCATTTTGCCACTAAGGTGCTTTGAAATGGTTGAGTGCCTAAAGTCTGAATGCGCCTTTATTGTGCGATAAGAATGAAGTGACACTGTAAAACATAGTACCAACATTATAACACAGAAGACATAGATAGGTAGATCATCCCTAAACTTCTAATTTCAAACCATTCAAAAGAAATTTCAAAAAATTCTTCTATTAATAGCCTCCCCTCCTCTACGACCCCCCCCCCTCCCACCCTCCTTTCATATCACTGGATACTTTAATCATGATATTAGTCAATCTAATGATTGGTTTTACATAATTATTGTCTGTTCAGTGTCAGAAGGGTGTTAACCCTATGACTATTGACTTCTTTTATTCCTTATAGGATTAACACAAGAACCACCAGGGACCCGTTTCACATAGCCTTTTTTCAATGACAAATGACAAAAATCAGTGACACACCTGCTGATAACCAATCAGAAGCAAGGATTTCAGTAGCTTATAACAAAAACTGTCATGTGTCACTGATGACAAGTTTTGTGAAATGGGGCCCCGGTTCCAGTTTGCAATGGGTTAACGCACATTATTCAAGAGAAGGTTAATACCCTTCTGGGTCTCAATAGACAATACCAGAGTCAGAAAGACATTATCTTTGTGTTAAATGAGTTAATGGCCATCTGCCTCTAAACAGACAACAAGATTTGTTTAACCTTTAATTTCCAATGTTTTTTTTGGATAAAGTAATAAAAGTAATTAATCAATTCTTTTTAATACAAGAAGTTGAAAGGGAACGAATCACATTATATATGCATTGCTTGTTTTAATTGTTATCCCTGTGTCGATTCATGAAAGAAAAATTTCTCATTAATTCCATGCATCCACAGCAATCTGTTAAATCATCAAATGCAATTAAAATTAGTAGAGAAGTAAAAAGAAAAGAACTTGGAAAAATTGCAAGGTGAACATTGAAATGTGTTGATGAATTTTTTTGATTGACAAATGAATATTCTTTTATTGGTTTCAAAGGTTGTTTTATTGAAACTAAATGACACAACCATTATATGGCATGTGTTGATCAGGAGCCATAGGGGTGTTATAATCATTTGTATAATTATGAATAGCGGCCTTGTGGGTCTCAACAATGTGTGAAAAGTGACACAATTGGATTTTTATGTGTTACATTTGATGGACAATATGTCTGTATGTAGAGAGTCTGAACTCATTTTGAGGTTTGGAAAAACTGATGAATCTCACAGGTCTAGTTCTGTTCCGTCCTTACTTAATGACCGACACCAGACCAACGATAGTCACAAAACAAAAACAAAACATTACTTCATCTATGATGGCCAAATAAATGGTCACCTTAAAATTCATTCATTCACATTGGCTTAATATACTGCCCGATTCCAGTAGGCAAAGGATTGTTCTATTTTGTCTCAGATTAATCTCACATCTCCACTGACCAATCAATTTCATGTCCAGGTGAACTTCCTCTTTTAAGATATTATTTACAAGAATGAGATTAAACAGGATTTTACCATTTCAAATGCTGCTTGCTTATATAAATTAAAGATAACCTTGAGTTCTGGTAAAAAAAAGAAAATGAATTCTCACAGAATCTAACGAAACTTACACTGAATGTTCAAGATCACAAATAAATGTCATGTGCCAAACAATTTTGGAAGAAAATGTATACTGGCTGAGTAATGAGCATAGAAAGATAAGGAAATCAGGGTAGTATTAGCCCCGACACCATGTGTGTTGTCCCATATACATCTTTCTGTGTAAGTGATTGTTACTTTACTAAGACTCTGCCAAATTTATGATGATTTTGACGACTCCAGAACCTTGCATTACACACCATTACTTACATGCTATATGATCAACTTTTCTGATCCATTCCACACCTTTTCTTTCACAATGCAATCGCATTAACAGAACTCAAGTTTATCTCTAATGCATCAAGGGTAAAATTGCAGAATACTATAGTTTTATATATGACTTGGCAGTTTTAACAGTAAGAAAAAGCAGTTATAGGGATAAGCTAGGGTGTTACAATAAATAGAAAGTAATATATAGGATAGCAGCAGTTGTATAGCACTCCAGACAAAAACGAACACGCGACAAATGCCCACAAATGGTGTAGTACAGAGATTGGTGGACGGAGCGTCCAAGTTTGCAGAAAGATGAAGTGCTCCCTCTCTCTTACCTTGGTTTTGACTAGGGGAATTCATAGATCGCTGAAGAGACATTGCTATTTTGAGCTTGTCTAAAAGTAAGGAAATGGAGGGGATGAAGCATGACAATTCAATTAATTTCCAAAAATCAGGTTTTTTAATTATTTTCCTTCTATTTCTTAGATATTATACTGTGTTTTTTGTTTTGTTTGAATTACTCTGTTTCATGGACTCTGCAAACATGACTTTCTGTCATCATTGAAAAAAAATTGTTTACAATTTTTTTAATCTTTTTTACAAATACCGTAAAGCATATTTGAAGATTCAAATTATTCAATTTCCAAGGCTCACCCCATGGTCCATAAAGAATTTCTTTTTAAACGTATAGATATGACTGAGCCAGGAACTATTAATTTTGCTCAAAACGGGACAACTTTCATGATCAAGACCTATCAACAACAAAAAACACAAACTCATTTAAAAACAGCTCTGTTAACATTCATGTACATACCGTGACATCTACAAGATGTAAATCATATTAATGATCGTTGTTAATGTACTGACTTCAAGAGGATGCACATTATTGAATTATAAAACATATAACTCATGTATGAACAACAGTATTTAGTTAATTTAGAATGGAATACAAATGAAATAATAACCAGCTGAATGCGGAAGAAAAATCCACTCTGAAATAAAAATCAATGTTAGAACATATTCAATGAACAACAAATAGAACAAAACAAATCACACAGAACTTGCTGAATATAACATTATCTTATAAGAATGGCATGTAATATTCCTCTGGCAATCTTCCAAGTACCCTTAGTCATTTCAATGATCACTTGATATTCACAATTTAAATATACCTAGGCTATACATACAAAGGCCTTTAGATACTGTTTTTGAATTTATATATTTTTCATAGTTCCTATTCCAGATTTTAGTAAATATCTATTGTATTGCATAAATATATTTTAGTATATATATATATATAATTATAAATATATATATGTATATATATAAATATGATTAATCACAAATTTACAAGAATAACTTTGAAACAATAGATTAGGTGACTTCATTTGGACATACAGGTGTTGCTATTGTTATCCAATCTTACCCAATCTAGCAAAAGGCAAACTTAATCCTTATGTGTTTCAAAGAATGAGGATTGGAAATGTAAAAATAATACAAAATTAAATAATAATTCATTTAAATAATCTTTTTCACTTAAAAAATTGCTGTCGTTAATCAATCTTACTTATTTTATAAACGCAGGAAAACTTAAGTAGAATATATGAATTGAAGAAAAAAATTGAAATCAGTTAGGCTATTACATTTTATAGCTACCATCGTTAGTCAATCTAAATCATTCAAACAACAGGTAAACTTAATCCTTAAATATTTATGAATAGTTCATTTAAAGGAATATAATAAGGGGCTTGGGACATAGTATGACAATTATTTTATGGTTGCCAAGAAATTTGGTTTTGAATGTGACGATAACAAATAAGAAACAGAAGAAATATTGGTAGAACATACTGCACCCATGGGACTGTTAAGGGAACCATTAAGAAGAAAAATCATAAATCAAACATATTAAATCAATAATACCTACAGTTAACAAATAAATTATTCATACCCATAACAAGTTTGGTAATTGTTGAAACATGTGATAAATTTGATTCGTCCCATTTTTAGTTTCTTGAGAATGGGAAGTATTAAACTTATGGCAATCCGCCAACATCAAGGGTCTGCTAAAGGCCAACTACATTCTGCTAAACCATGGCACTGCCATGGTAACGGACCATTATCTTGAGTCATTTTACAAGTAGATACAAAAAAGAAATAGGAGATGGAGTGACTCTAAATGGGTTGATATTTAAAAAAAATCCACAAGGGGTATTAATAATTTGAATGTTAACTGTACATTCTATATGGAAATATTTGAAGAATATGAAGAAAATAAATAATAACAAGAGATGTAGGTTACTGTTAAGAAAAATAACATCTTTTCTGTGAATATATGCAATTAGTAGATATCTAACTGAAAACAAAATATATTGGGAGGGAACCTCTATATGAGTCAACAATGTAAACATTCCCCACTATTAAATATCAAGGAAATTCCATTAGTACTTGATTATAAAACCCAGTTAAAAAATCAAAAGGGGCTGAAGTAAGACTACTTACTTCTCCCTCTCCTCCACTTGTAACCGACGCTATTATTTTCAGCCGCAGCCGGCGTGGCGGTTTCTTCTGGCGTGCTGGCGTACTTGTTTTCGCTGATGTCCTCAAAGTTGAGGATGCACATGATGATCTCCTCGTTCTCATTCTTGACGGGAGCGACCAAAACACTGCAAAGGAATGATGTGCCTGTGGAAAGATAACAGGAAAGAGAGAAGTTGTAGAACTGTTCTGAAGGGCTCCAATGAGTCATGCATGCTCCTACTCCAAAACTCTAAAAACTCTAAGGGCAGAATTATGAATAGAATTTATTTTACTGTAGGCCTATACCAAAAAAGGTTTCCTGCAAACATGAAGGAATCTAGGTTTTATACCTTTTTTATAAAGACCCAAAATCATAAAAAACAGTAACTTTTGTTTTGTTACAGAAATACTATGTTGTTTAGCAATAATCACTTCGACAAGTATATTTTCCTTCATAAAATGAATGTTTAAGTACCTAAATATTACTGTAAGAAAAAAAAATATTGGTGTCATCTGCAAATAAGAAAGTGCTCAAGGAACTAGAGATATAGAAGAATTCATTTATATCAAAAAATTAACATTACTTTATAAAATACAATTGTTGTTTTTCTCATTAAGTAATTCTGAAAAACCTACATGCAGCTATCTAATATTTTGATTGCGTACAAGGAATTTCTTTCTAGGCTCCCTCACTTACATGCCACCTGTTCATAGTCAGAACGATGCTAACCTTGCGTTAAAAGTCAATCTTGAGTTAGGGTATGGGAATCATAATTTGAGAGAAATATTGCTATGATTTCTTCTGGATCGTTTATCCTCCAGTAGATTGGTTGTTTGAACCAATGAAATAAAAACAAATGCACAAAAATTTACAGGGCATCATCCTCGATAGAAAACACAATTCCCATTTGCATAAAGTGACCTGTGTTAAGCACATGGTGTCGGCCTACTTTATATACCTGGATTTCCTTATCTTTCTATGCTCATTACTCTGCTACTATACGTTTTCTACCAAAATCGTTTTGCACTTGTCATTTATTTGTAATCTTGATCATTCAGTGTAACATTCAGTGTAACATTCAGTGTAAGTTTTGGTGGACCCTGTGAACATTTATTTCTATATTTACCAAAACTCAAGTTTATGTATATAGGTTAACATCCTTTTGGCTCCGAACAGACTTGTATGTATTCCTATATTATGGCAAATTTAGAACCATAGCTGAGGGCATTGGAGAATCAAGTCAACTAACAGCCTTTTCACACACAGCTAAAATTCATCGTATCTAGAGATAATTAGAATCACTCAACAGTTTTAAACATGTTTATAGACAAAATATCCCAGTGTGAACATCGTTTATACGATTTTGGGATAGATACGAAGTCGCGATGCATACGCCCCTAAAAGCAGGCTGCAGATACGAAGTTCGTATCTAGTGAGCTTGACATTTTGTGTGTGAAAGGTTATTCGTGTTTAAACGTGTTTCAGACGTGTTTAAACTGGATGGAGCATGCGCTTTGATTGATGTGACATGACCTTCAATGCGCAATGGCACTACTGTGCATTTTACGAGCAGTAGTTAATCACGAAATATTAACGATCGCACCGAAATTTCTGTGTGTGAAAGGCTCGTGATTAGTTTAAACACGTTCGAAACACGTTTATACTAATCATGCTTATAGAATTTTAGCTGTGTGTGAAAAGGCTGTTAGTCAACTAAGACTTGAAGATATTGCACGTGATACTGGTACATGACAATGTTAGTTTGGGAGCGACTTCAGAGGTTGTTGTTCGCAAAATACCCTTAGGTTTTGAATAATTCATGAGATGCACTGCAAAGTGTTAAAACATGTTTCAGCTATATTAAGATGTGTGTTGATGGATGGTTATGGTAACTTGTAACCAGTTTTAGCTTCATATCAAAGGCACTTTTTAATAATAACTGTTTCTTAGGTACAATAGTCGCATTATTACTCCGGTCACTGGATTCTGTTACGATTCTGTTCTTTACAGTGCACACTCCCCACTCCGTTGGAGAGCATGCAGAGCAAAACTACATGTAACTGGTAAAGTCTTTTGGGCTCTCAAATAGCAATATCTTTATCGTTGGTGGGGTGACAAAACCTCATATCTCATTTTTTTGAGATTGTGATTTTTTTGCATAATTGTGTACCTAATGGCCTACGACACCACCTGATAAATCCATGGAACGCCTCCTGTCTCTGGTTTTTTTACAAATTCCACACAAAGGACGGTGGCACAGCACTAAATCTGTTGAGACCGGAAATGTTTTTTTCGCTCTCCTGAAAATTCATGATTTTTGAGATACAAGGTTTTGTCACCCCACCGACGTTATACTCTTGTTACACTAGTCATCTAACTCCTGTAAAATCTCTGAAATATAATTATTTGTAAAATCACAATGTTGAAATCATAGTGTAAAATCATCCGTATGGAGCAATAAGGGTTTAACTCATATATTTAAATATTGTTAAGCTCCTCATTATCAAAAAGACATTAATGATCATGCTACAGAGAGCCAACCAAAAGACTCTTAAATACAGAGCAAAACTAATTGCTAAAGCCCTTTTAGCTCTCAACTAGCAATATCTCTATGCTCTCGTTATACACCAGTCATATTAAGGACATCGTTTAGTTAACTTCATCATTATCAAAAAGATATTAATGGTCGTGCTGCAGAACGAAAGTAACAGCTAGAGCGCCTTTCGGCTCTCAACTCTCAATATCTCTATACTCTTGTCGTAAACACTAGTCATATCGAGGACATCCATCAGATACACTCTATTGTGTTATGAAAGTGCAGGAGCCAGTCGATAGCATTATTGGTGGGACTCCCAGGATTATTGCCAATTTGATCTCATTCGAAGCCGAGATGTAATTACAGATGTGTGTGTCTATGGTGGGAACGTGGAGAAGACCCCCAGGTGTATCAACGCCAGGTAATTTACCAATTATGGACAGTTGTCGTCAAAGCTGTTGAAAACGGGAGAAATTTGACAGGAGTTTGGGGTCTCAGAAGCTGTGTGCTTTTTGTTGCTTATTTTGCAATTGTATGTCTCTTCTTTTTTTCCGGTATGCCTTGCAAAACAAGTGGTGTCAACATATGAGTGTATTTGAAGAAAACAAAAATAGAAAAAAATAAAGAATTGCAAGTTATCAGTAACTGTAAAGAAGTCAATACAAGTATTTTGCTCCCCTCCCCCCCCCCCCCCAAAAAAAAAAAAAATTGTAGATACTATGAAATCCCCTTGTTTTATGTAAGCTTAAATTTTAAATCAAAGTGCTGGTATTCAATGTCTGGCATTATTGTTTATGCATGACAAAAATTATCTAAAATGCCGTACATCATTGTTATTTTCTTCATGCCACAAAGTTCAACATACATGCAATCATTCTATTAGTTATTATGCTAGATGAACGAACTTGAATTATGTTATTTTATTTTACCGTTACATGCCGTACATGATTGTTATTTTCTTCATGCCACAAAGTTCAACATACATGCAATCATTCTATAAGTTATTATGCTTGATGGATGAACTTGAATTATGTTATGTTATTTTACCGTTACATGCCGTACATGATTGTTATTTTCTTCATGCCACAAAGTTCAACATACATGCAATCATTCTATTAGTTATTATGCTTGATGGATGAACTTGAATTATGTTATGTTATTTTACCGTTACTTCTTAAATCTATTTATATGTAACACCAGTGGATGTGGAGAACCTCATGACACAATGGAAATTCTTTTAGGTAATCCTCAGGCGTCCGCTGGTGGCTTTTTCACTGTCTTGTAACTCTTAATGTTATATGCTCTGTGTTGTCATTTCTATTTAGTTTATACATGTACCTGGAAATCAAATAAATTTCAAATTTCAAATTTAATGATCTCAGAAATCATGAGATCGTTTCTCCCTCATATCTCATTGGAATGTTGATATTGCAGTAAGGAAGACAAAATATCTAGTTACCATTAAAGCTTATGACTTAAACGACCACAGGATCAACATCTATCAGGAGACACAGCATGTTTGCAATCTCATTCATATCCAGACCTATGTTTACGCACCTACACCAACTGTACCTAATGGCTTATCAATTCTGTTAGTTTCATGAGCCAACACTCAACAACGAGGGGGCGCTTTGAATTTACAACTTGTTGAGATCTCCAAAAACAGAATGGGATAAAATCCCTCTTCACAAGAATTTTCCATGGCAATCCAACAATCTCTGAAGGCAGAATGGATAAGATTCTACTTCAAAAGATCGCCATGGCAATCCGTCAATATCGAGGGTCTGCTAAAGGCCAACTACATTCTGCTAAATTTGGCATTACCATGGAAACGGACCATTATCTTGAGTCATTTTACAAGTAGATAGAGACAGAGATGAGCGGAGCGGAACAGGAATAGGAGATGGAATGACTCTAAGTGGGTTGATATTTTAAAAAATCCACTACCCTGTTTACATATGTTATCCAAGACAATCTTATTCCCTGTACTTTTTACATACAGTTAACAAATGATTTATAAATACCCTTAACAAGTTTTGTAATTGTTGAAGTATGTGAAAGAATGATTTGTCCCGATTTATGTTTCTTGAGAATGTGACGTTTTATGCATTTTAAAGCTTATATTTCAAGTATCCAACAAAGGCCCTTTCCACTTTTCATTCTTGAATTAAGAAAACACAAAACGTCAAATTTACAAGGGGTGTGAATAATTAAATTGTCAACTGTATGTTATTTAAAACAATCCTCTATCCCACCATATTTACACGTCCCATTTTACAAAATGTGTACCTGTTTCTTCTTTCTGAAATACAAGAAATAGCTTTTTTCATACTATGCCTGTAATCTGAAAAATACCCTTTTGGTTTTGATTTGCTTTATAATAATAATAATAATAATAATTTATACAGCAAAGGAAATAGTTCAATTGAGCTGACATTTATGAAAAGATTCTGTTTTGAGGTGTAATAATCAGATTGTACATTTGTGCAATATCACAATCTCATTCGAGGTCCAACACAGTACCCCCAGGTGCCTGTAATAATACCCCTTTCTGTTCCCCTCAGGACTGGAGGAGTTAACAATTCAAAGCTTCCCTCGAGATAGGACTGCCACGACAACTCCAGAGTATCGCTTTCACCGCTTCTTAATGATCCGCTTCTGTCCAGTCTGATGCACCTCGCTAAATTCACAATGGCCTTCCTTTCCCGCAGAGTGGTCAATGCTCTGCCCAACAGTGGACCAGTCCACACTTGCATTCAAAATGGTAACATTAATCCTCGTAGAAAGTTGATATGCATGTATCAAAAGCAAATTTCATGAGACCAATTTTCAAATATATTTCTTGTTGATGTAGTTTTCTTTTCTTTGGTTTTTTTTCTCATTTTTTGTCCTTCTTCGCTTTATTCTATTTAATCATTATTATTTTTGCCTATCATCTTCATTGCTTCATGTGAAATAGTCATGTACATACTTGGTTCTAAATTTCTGTGATTGTTTATAAGATTGTTTAAAATCCTGACACAATATAGATAAATGTTCTGTCCAAAATAGATTGTTCAAACTTGATGTTTGAGTGGCAACTTCCTTTAATTCTTTATTGAGTACTCATTAGCCCTTTACATTTTTCTCTTCCCTCCCTCCCTCCCTCCCTCCCTCCCTCCTCCTCTCTCTCTCTCTCTCTCTCTCTCTCTCTCTCTCTCTCTCTCTCTCTCTCTCTCTCTCTCTCTCTCTCTCTCTCTCTCTCTCTCTCTCTCTCTCTCTCTCTCTCTCTCTCTCTCTCTCTCTCTCTCTCTCTCTCTCTCTCTCTCTCTCTCTCTCTCTCTCTCTCTCTCTCTCTCTCTCT